CAATGCTGAAGAAATTTGTAATTGGCCTTAATGTGTTGGAAATTGATTATTTAATTCTTTAGGACAGCTATTAAAATCCTGCATGATGATTAATACATATTTCTATGACTGTGTGTTGAATACATGTGACAAATATATAGTTCAATACAACATATGTTTTATGCCTAAGCTGTTGAGGTTAAAATCTATGGCCACCTATACTGGTAGCAAGGCATTTAAATAAGTGCTGTGAATTAAAGAAGACTTGATTATTAGACAAGGTGTGTCAATGATATTAAAACAAGAAAAAAAAAACCCTGGAATTCTTCTCAATTTTATTACCATGTATAGTTAATGTCTGACATTTTAAAAATCACCCACTATGCTAATCTTACATGCTAAATCATAAACAGTATTTGGAAAAACAGTAGTTTATGTACAAACAAACAGATGCTTGATGGATCGTGAATGATCCATGATATTATGTGATCATGATGGATTTCTGACAAGCTGGCGAAATCACTGTCCCCCTTCTGTCCAGAAATCCACAGGACGAAGGACATCGACTTTGCCCAGGGATCTCTCACCTTAACAGGTCAACTTCCTCCACATAACAGAGGGTCCATACCCTCTGTTTGCTTCAAAACAAACCTTTTTTGATATTCAAAAGGTGACTCCCGTTTATCAGATTTTCGTGAATAATTTTTTTTCAAGGCCTCAGGACACAAAAATGATGGGTTTATGATTATTAGCAGGTGTTAAAATGTTAGAAGTATTGTCATAAGAGGGAAAAAGAAAACATAAATAACGGACCCACAGGACAAGATTATCTACTAATACTGGATCCAGGCTTATGATGGGATTTTAAAAATCTACAAACAACAGCTTTCAAACATCATGTACCTAACAGCAAATAGCAGGCGGCTTTATCATTCTTTGCCGCATAATTTTGAACACTTTCTTCTCAAATCACCATTGTACATAAAAAAAAATTGATTTCATTTCATGCCTTAACTTTGTAATTGTTTGCATAAGATTTTCAACAACTATCTTGTGAAAAATACTGAATGTTACTTGTCTTGATATTTTTTGAAAGGAAACAATTGCTGGGTTTTGAAGTAACTTGTAATAGTAGACATGGCGGCGAGACAGCTTAATGGGCAAAAGTGGGTTAAAACACATACAAACACACAGGAGAAGTTCTTGATAAAACCACAAAATATCAAATCCTTTTACACAAACATACATGACAGAAAGTTTAATTCAGTGATTTCAAATACGTCTCCATGGGGTGTGCTATAAAAAGATAATTGAAATGAACCATTTTTCTGTAACATCAAACTCTTTCATAATGAGAGATAATAAAGTTTGTGGCGACTCATCAAACAGCAATGCTCTCAAGATTTCCTCTGTTAAATGAACAGAGAAATGAAGAAGACATTAAAATGTGTATTAGAAATATTATTCATTAAAGTCAAAAGGTTTGTCTGCAATAAACTGGGTTAGATTTCCTGATATTCCCTATTCCTTCTGAAGTTTTGCAAATTCACAGAAAGACTGATTTTAGGTAATTGCAATTTTTGTTGTGCACACGAAACAGCAATAAAGTTTCATATGTAGATATACATAAGTAAATAACATTTAAAAGATGAAAGTCAGGGAAAAGAAGAAAAATAACAATGGATCACCTAAACATAAAATTTAAATGTTTGATTTTTATATGGCAATAAAAAGATGATATTGTGTCAAATGACATATTTAACCAGACTAAAAATTCAGTACAATGTACATTCACAAAGTCTCCAAAGTATCCAAATCACAAAATGTCATCTTTTCTTGAGATTACATGATAAAGTAAACCAATTTTGAAAAATTAAAATGTATTGGTAGTGCGGTATGTTACTTGTAAGTGGCATAAAATGTTAACGGATTTTACACAACTAAAGCTTAAAAAAGGTGCACGAAAGACTTCATCTTGTTTTCATCTTTTAAAAAATCATATATAATTCTAAAGTCCTTAAATTTACAGGACAATTTATTCCAAATAATATTGTTTCCTTAATATGAAGAAAAAAAGTACTAGTACTTATACAATGGCCATAAGATTTTAAGTTTATAAGCTGGCACATCACATCACATGCTACATAAGACAATATTAATCCACACATGTTTCTAACCACCAGGAAACAGTGAAGTACCCTTAGGAGGGCATCAGCTGCCTTACTGGGGTGTCATCCTCACATCACTGAGGGATGAGTCTGTGTTTACAAACAAAAACACCTGACTGATGTACTGGGGGAAATACCAGCTAATTATATCAAAAATGTCACATATATCTATTTAGAATTTTTATGCAATATATTTTTAAAAAAAAAATATTTTGTTCCATTACATCAGATTGAATTGTAATAAAACTTTAACAAACATTTTATTAAAAGTTTATTATCTAACAAAAAATGTTAATTATTGAGGTAAATGATTTTTAAAGGCCATTTAATCCTTATTTAAAAAGAGAGGAGGAGATCGGATATATCTATTTTGAGACTGTAACTTAGACACCTAGTCTGAGCCATTAGCTCCTCTAATGAAGCATTTCTTGACAAAAGACAGTACCGATCTAAGCCCATGGTGTTTTGTAATTTGAACAATCTTGCCTGGGATCTAATTTTTTGTCTGAGCCTTCTGTTTTGACTGTATGGCTCCCCTATATGTGTGCATTGAACTGTTATCAACCCTTGTGTCAATCAGGCCTCACTGGCATCTCCTGATAAAAACTGATGTTTGAAAATTAGTTCCATTTAGTAGGCTGAAAGAATATCAAAAGAGATGTACACTTAATGCACTTACAGAGTTGACAGTTTTCATCATTAGAAACAATTTAGGATTTTTAGCCAACTGTAAACAACCACTAAAGTTTCTGGTCACAGTTTGCCAAAATAGAAGCTGGCTATTTTCAGCAGTGTCAGTCCTGATTACTGATATTACATGAAGTTGTTATGTTCAGTTCCAATATAAAGGGTTGCAAAAGCATGTCTCACATGGTGTATTTACATGGGGTAATACACAGATAAAATTACACGGTCCTAGCCTTGGATGACCCCTCATGACATCATCCGCCCTCCCCAAAAATTGACAGCTTATGTTGACACACAGCGCTCATTATGTGATCACCAAGTGCAAATGAAAAAAATTGGCACAGTTTCTTGTAAGGCTTGTAACCTTCACATCGGAGATCAGCTGTTTTATTTTCTTAATTACTATGATTGGTGTCCCAGTTCTTTCTCAATAAGAAGCAAATATATCAGGAGGGGATATTACTTCCCCTTAATAAATCATTGGTGTCATTCTGTCCTATATTGAAATACATCTGGGTTACTTCACAGTCTTCTATCTCGTATTATAATACTATAACAGAGGGCCTGTTGCTGTATAATAGATCTATTTTTATACTTCTCAGGTACGTAAAAATACTAAATATGTTATACTGGCAGTTGCACTTTTAATCAGTATTTACGTTCTTCCTCTAGGATCAGTTGTGTATTACCTAAATAAATATTGTGTTTTTCCCAACCCACATGGAGCACTTGGTCCTAATTTACCTGTGTAATAATAATAACAAAATGAACTTAAAATTTTGAGGGTTTTAGGAAGTAAAATGACTGGTCTTTTCCATATCTAGCCCACTTAGGATTTTTTTTTTAAACTACTGTATGAAAGGTGTAATTGAAGGACATATTAAAGGTTGTAAACAATGCAATGACTACCTGTGGTGTAAATATAATCTTAGTTTAGGGCCCCAAACACCCACCCATGCAGTGTACGTCAATGTCACATATACATGTCAGGTTACTTAGTACATATACCAATAAAACAATTAATTCTATTGATAGACTGATAATTAAGAACGATTATTGCACATGACCTAAATTTAAATTGTCTGTATATTGATTTTAATTCTTTTTTCTCTCATTATACAATTCAGATTCTGAAAGCAAAGTGTTTTAAAACTGTCATTTTAAACATTATGAAATACTTTGTTTCATTTCAGCATTCCCCCCCCCCCCCCCCCCCTTTATCAAACACATCCTAAAATAAAAGAAATTCTGAATAATGCAGACTTTTGAAATGTCAATATCCTTTCGTACTATGAATCAGACATCATTAGAGAAATTGTGTTAATTATGTTTTTTTATGTTCATTTGACCGTTATTGGACCAGATTATATGCCACAAGAGTTAAAGACGCAAATGAAGAAAACTCCTGATAAACAAGAATAAATTTTAGTATTGAGCAACAAATCTGAAAATAGCAGTTTAGATCGATACAAACATCATTCCTCATCAATAAGGACATGTGTACTTTAAATACCGAACCAACAGCAACTACAGAGCTAGAGTCTATATTATGCATGGATGCCTGATAATGCCAATGACATAATTTTTGATTTTCCTATGTGTATTACAAGCCTTTGATGGAAAAATACTGTCTTAATAGTTAAAAGGAAAAAAGAAAATAAAAATCAACATTTATGATTGCTGTTCTCAATCAGTCTGCAAATCAATATCAAGTGCAATGTTTCATAAAAAAAGAGAATTGGAGTGTTAAAAAAAAAAGTTAAAGTGCACCCGATCATATAAATAGTTACTTAGATGATGAAAACATTTATTTTAGAAAATAAATCTGCATAAATGATTTTGATATTTAAAATAAAAATCGATCTTTAAAGCCTTTTTAGTGTCTAGACTGTTCTAGATATGGCGGTGATGTAGAGTACTTGGGTACAGGAGATTATTCCTTATATTCTAAGAGTCCACTAAAGTCATACCACAATGTTGACAAATGGCAATCAAGTATCTGGACAGTCTTAACTAATGATCTCCCACCATTAGACAACCTTTTTTTCTTCAACATCTATACCTCTGTCAGTCCACAGCGGTAAAATTAATTTCAATAGCCATTAATTTCCATTTTCTTTGGTGTGTACCTGGATGCCTATGGACGTCTAATATATATGTTCTCACCTGTGTGGCCTCGTTTGTTGGGGATGGTCAGGTGGGGGTGCTTGGCTCCATTATGGAAAGCTTTTTATCATCCAAGCTGTTACTGTGGTCACATCTGTTAACATAACCCAATAAAATCAACCTTAAAATATGTAAATAGCATGTGGCAGATGGGTATGTGTAAATAAACCTATGATAAACATCCCCGAGTGGAAAAGAATCAGGAGGAAGGTAGAAAAAGAGACAAGATAAAAGGAAAAATACATGATAGTGAGGTGAATGTATTACCAATACCTACATTTAATACTCTCTTTAAGATATTATTACATAAACATGCTGGTGTTAAAAAAAGATATACTTTACACAGATTATTTACCTCACATTAATTTTTTTTTTTCAACTTGAACTTAAAAACCTTCTTTTTTTGGCTTCCAGCACTAACTATCACTACAAAGTGAAGCATTGGTTAGATACAGGGAAAGAAGTATTATGACTCTTGATTGAGATTCAGTACTCAAAACCACAGGAGAAGCATTACAAATGAGGTATATAGGTAAAGATAGGTAAATCAGTACTTTCCATACATAAATAAAAGCACCGAATTAAAAGCAAATAACAAAGAATTGGGTATATATAATTAGAAGTGGTTTTTAAATCATCTGAGTTTCTCACCCACTTTATGTTATCTGTGTATTGAATGCGGGTGCTTTTTCCGAAATACCAAGAGCACTGTAACAGTGCATACCAGTCACTGTGCCACCTGGTGGATACTTTCCAGAAACACTGAGTGAACACTTCCCAGATTAGGATCTAATATTTCCTTGTATTTGGGAGATGACAATTCTAGTCAGGACATGAAGCCACTTCACCTCTTCATCAACCTCTGAATCAGACAATTTTGGGGAATTTTTGACAATGCAATATTCCAATGCAATCAAAAATGTCATAAGTATGTCATTCACTTTTTCTCATATTACGAACAAAACATTCTTGGAAGAGAGATAAGATCTGCATATATTAACACGTTTGAAGTGATTTCAAGTGAATTTATTTTAATCTTCAAATTGTCTTTAATGCTTGAAATCATCTTTATGAGGAACTGTGCTATGTGAATGCAATTGCAAAGAACCAATGCTTCCTTAATCTGACAATGAATTTTCTCCATGTACTTATACAGTATTTACATAGTCAAGCTTAAACTGACACCACTGTCAGCCTTATACAGATTTCAGGATTGTGCCTTTTATAAATTCTTTGATGCTTTTTTTTCATTAACACTTTTAAATGAATTTTTGAGAAGTGCAACTGACCATTTGGAAATCTCAGAACACTTCTGTGATAAAAAAAAAAATTATACCAATTGAGGTTTGAAGATAAAAACAAATTTTTCATATCAAGACTGGGGTACTAAGGAGATTTTTTTTTTTTTAAAGAAAACAAAATTCCTTTAAGCAATTCAATATAGGGCCTTTTCAACATTTCCTGTTTCAGATTTCTATTACTTCCCATTACCCATAACCCCTCTTGCATTTCATTGGTGTCTGAGTTTGTAAGACACAATGCATTTTTTTGGATGGAATTCTCCACCTAATTTACGTCCACAGAGAAAGTATGGTATTTCTTCCTTGTTCATCTTGTTGTATGTCCAAAAACTGTGTCACACACAAAACTTATTATGGAGCTATGGCATTTCAATATATTGATGTAATTTACCTAGTTTTACAGAGACAAATTATACTCTAAATGGGACTCTTCTGAAATCATAGAGGTTACTAGCTCCTAGGACATTGTTTCCATCGATCTCAATGGATGAAAGTTCAAATCCAAAAATAGGAAAACCCTTCCCAATTCCAGTTCCTTATCATAAATTAAAATTAAAAGTGGTAAATTTCTTTTACTTCTGTCAACACCTTACACAATAAAGCAACATTTATCCTAATTAACTGCTTGTGTGTCATTTTGTAAAAATATGTGTTTAAGGAATTAGAAATCCGATATCAAGCTATGCACTGCAAATTACTTGCATGCAAGCCTAGTCCTTATGCCAGGGTTACAAGATATGGCCGTTTATGTTTGATTGGCAGGCAAAGTGACAGGTATTTAGTGTATTGGGAAGATGTATGTATCCTTTGCTAATAACTGGTCACCTTAGTCCTTTCCTTAGGCCAAATGTCTTTACCACCACAAAACACAATCAGACTGGACAGTTCAGAAATAGAAAATGATTGATTCATTAGCATTCTGGACATCAATGAGTTAGCCGACACTTGGAGTCTGTGACCTTATTTAACCCCTAAAGGCATTTTACTGCTTTGGCCAAATTGCCAGTAATAACATACATTTGGTCAAAATCTAGAAAAGTGTATCCAAGTTCTGATTGTGGATGAGTTGAGTAAGGAAAATTCTTGCCAAAACATGAAATCAAAATATTTGAAAAAAAAGCAAGGGAACTAAAATAAGTGAACTTGTGTATTAATGGGAAAAAATGAATTTTCTTAAAGATTAAATTAAGATAACCAAATAAATCATACATATCTTGTTTTTTACCAGTCTTTTGCCTAAGGCCTCCACATGTAAATGTATGGAAAAGACAAATGGATAGGTATACATAGAATAAAACATGTCATATTCCCTGGAGGTGAAGTTTACCTATATACTCTGGATCCTGTCAGATTTAATCAGACTTATTACTTTACATTATAATGATGAATCTTCATTAGCAATTATCACAAGACACTCAGTACAAAATTGATTTAATTTATTTTTTCATCCTTACCTCATGATTATGGTGGCTATTTTAAGACTAGGAGATGAAAACTGATATAATTTCTAGTGTAAATTACATTTATGTGACGTAGTTGCTTTGCTACAAAGTTCACCATTTTTTTCACTATTTATAAGCTGGAAAGTTAATATCTAACAGAAATGTACCTGTATTTGTAACAAAATATCAAACTGCACCAAAAAAGGAAGTATGGACTTTTTTTCAAGGGAGGAAAACAAATACTTCACCAACAATATCAACCAGTTGATTCAGGGTGCCTATGTAGAAGCATGCCCTTCGGAATTTTGCATTTGCATGTTTTGTAATGCTTCATGACACTGGTCATTTCTCATCCCTACCCTCAATTCCCAAGAACACCTATAATCCTGTGCACCTGACTTTTTCCAAGGGCTGGGGAAAATTTATTATTTATCATTTACTTGTCTCTCACAAATACTTAAACATTACCCTTTGTCCAGGTGAACTTAGGGTAACTAAAGTTATGTGCTGAAAGTACTAGTGGAAAATTTAAGTGGCAGCATTCATTAATCAAAATTTTTAACAGGGATTCATCATGCTAGCGAAATCTATGTCTGAGCAAAGTATGGTATTAAAACTGAATGCAGTAGCTTTATTAGCAAAGAGTTGAGAGCTACATAAATATAAAGAGGTATCTCAACATTAAACCAGATGTATTTATGTCAAATCAGACACTGGGACAAATCTCAACTAGGAAAACATTTCATACAATAAAATATACATTTAAATGAAAAAAACCCAAATATTTAAACTGTCCCATAAAAAGTATATGGTATAACTATGGACTTGTATATTAAAATTTCATCACTATAAATTAAAGTATAAGGTTTTGTGATGAGGTTGCAGTTCCACGAATACTTTTGGCCTGACACTGTAGGACATAACATCAAGTGTTATTAAACTCAATTGGTTTCTTTTTTGGCTAAAGAAATTAAAAATACCCATTAGGAAAAATCATATTGTAATTTGTAGGTCAACGGGAACAATAAATACATAAAAATGTTTTGAGTTATTTTTTCCCCAGGTGGTTTAAGTCTTGAATAAAATGATTTCTGCTTAAAATTCTATGGCATATAAAAAAAAGTTTCCTTCTAGCCAAGAAAATTTTAACATGGAAACCAAAAACAAAACCAGAAGAATGATAAATCAAATATCTGTAATTTGTTTGTTTTCAATTGCCATGGCAATACTTTTATCATTTTAAAATCCATTACATACTCCACCTTTAAATACACTGTATATGAGAAGATATATTTGTTTTTTATTGACTGTTAAAGTTTAGATACCTTAGATATATCATAACACACAAGCTTCTTGTCTTGACAAGCTTCTGTTGATCTGTGGTATTATGGGTGAATACACAAACAACTCCATGTATTTTGATCTTCAAACCACATATTTTTTTGGGCAGACACTAAAATTAAACAAAAAGAAAAATTAACACGCATAATTGCACCAGCTACATGTACATGCACCTGCTAGGTTTCAAGGATATAAAGAATTTACAGCCAGGTTTTGCATTTGCACTGATTTTACAGTTTTTACTCCAGTAACACACACATGTAAGTTATTGAAAGATGAAAGATACACAACAAACACTCGAGAAACAATTCAAATGTTTGTGTTCTTACCTGAATCCATTTATCTAAAGAAAAGCACTTATGTTTTGTCTAAGCAATGGTACTTTGTCTGTCTGTTTGTACAATCTGAATACTACTGTTCTGAGTTATCTAATTCTATTGTGGTTAGTCCTCATTGCATTCCACTGAGGCCCTACCAATGTCCTACTCAAACACTACACGAGATCACTCCTCTATGCAGTGAAACGAGACCTCAACAATCATACTTTAATGCCCTGTTATGAGGTGACACCCTTCAATGTCCCTTTATGAGACCCTATTTATCATCGCCCTGGAACAGGACCTCCTATAAGTAAGGTTAACCCTTATACATCATCTATTAAGACCCTTAATGCCCCATAATGAGTTCCCAGTGAAGTCTTCCTTAGATTCCCTGATATGAGGTCCCAGTACGTTAAAGCTTCAATGTCCTACACTGAGACATGAATCCATGCATGCATAGCAGCCCTAGCGGTTTATGTAACCCTCAAGTACCTGAGGTCCTAGTATGTGCAAGTTTATGAACAAGACATTGTCCAATTTTGTAACCTTGGCCCTGCTGTCCTTTACAAAATTTATTAGATTTTTTTCCCTTTTTATTTTCATGAAAAATTTTGACCCTATATTGTGGCCCCACCCTGGTTCAAAGGAGTGATGACTTAACAAAACTTGAATTCTTACAAGGGGATGTTTTAAAAGATTAACAAGACTAACATGACCTAACAGTTCTCATGAATATTTATTCACCATTATACATGCATTCTGTAAAATTTTATCTTCAATTTTACATTTCAACTGAAATTTTTAAAATTTACTCCATAACTTTGGAAGAAAACAAGATGTGTTTGTGAAACACTGATGCCCCCGGAAGGCAGCTTATGGCAAAGGTTAAAGTTTTTTAAAAGTAAGTAAAACATCAAAGTCAAGGTCAAAGTTGTTAGTATCCAAAGAAAGGTTTTGTCTTGAGGAATATACCTGTGAAATTTTGTGAAATTTAAAAGCCCTAGCTGCAACTGTTCAAAAGTTATGGCGAAGGTTAAAGTTTTTTAAAAGTAAGTAAAACATCAAGGTCAAGATCAAAGTTGTTGGTATCCAAAGAAAGGTCTTGTCACAAGGATTACATATGTGAAGTATGAAAGCCCTAGCATCAACCATTCAAAAGTTAAGACCAAGGTTAAAGTTTTTCAAAAGTAGGTCAAACTCCTATGTCAAGGTCAAAGGGTCAAAGTGGTTGGTATCCAAAGGAAGGTCTTGTCACAAGGATTACATATGTGAAGGATGAAAGCCCTAGCACCAACCATTCAAAAGTTATGGCCAAGGTTAAAGTTTTTCAAAAGTAGGTCAAACTCCTATGTCAAGGTCAAAGGGTCAAAGTGGTTGGTATCCAAAGGAAGGTGATGTCACAAGGATTACATATGTGAAGTATGAAAGCCCTAGCATCAACTATTCAAAAGTTATGGCCAATGTTAAAGTTTTGCAAAAGCGGGTCAGACTCCAAGGTCAAGATCAAAGGGTCAAAGAGGTTGATATCCAGAGGAAGGTCTTGTCACAAGGAATCCACATGTGAAGTTTGAAACCCCAAGCACCAACTGTTCAGAAGTTATGGCCAAGGTTAAAGTCTCATAAAATTTGCAAAAGCGGGTCAAACTCCAAGGTCAAGGTCAAAAGGTCAAATATGATGGTACCCAAAGAAAGGTCTTGTCACAAGGAATACACATGTGAAATATGAAAGTCATAGCTCCAACCAATCAAAAGTTATGGGCAAGGTTAAAGTTGACAACAGACAGACAGACAAACAGACAAACAGACAGACAGGACAAAGACAATATACCCCAAGATCTTTCGATCCGGGGGCATATAAAAAAAAACAACAACAACTTGAACTCCCAAAACTTGGGAATGCTTGCATATTAATACAATTTACTTGGCCTTGCTAATCTTAAAGTCTTTTTTAAAATTTCCATATTATTCAAGTACTGGTAAAACTGAGAATCTTTTTCTTGATCAGCTTCATCCAAGACCACAAGGGCCATGATTTGAACAAATTTTAACCTGCACCCCCAGGATGTTTGGATATTAATATTACTAAATATGGCTTTGCTAATCTCAAGAAGATTTTTAAAGATTTTCCCCCTATATATCCCCATGTAAAACAAAGATCCTCTTTTGTGCCCCACCCTACCCCACATGGAAATGTTTTGAACTTAATGATCTACACTTATTTAGGAAGCTTTCACTAAATATTTCATCTTTTCTGGCCCAGCAGTTCATGAAATTTTTTTTTGAAAGATGCCAGCAAATTTTCAATATATTTCTAAATTATTTCCCCCTAAAAAGAGGGAGTGGCCCTTCAATTGACCAAATCTGAATCCCCTTCACCCGAAGATGCTTTATGGCAAGTTTGGTTGAAATTGGCCCAGTACTTCTAGATAAGTTGATAATATACAAAGCTTAGGACACCAGACATCAGTTTATTAATTAAAAAAGCTTCCTCTCGCTTTATATAGCTCAGATGGTAATTTCGAGATCTAACTACATGTAGTAATTGCAAATTTTCTTCTCCACCAATATAATATGAATAATACTCGTGATGAAGAAAACATTGTGCAAAATTGAATGCCTTAATAATTAAATACCTGTATTTAGAAAGATAGTTTTTGGGATTTACATCTGGTAAACATAAAATGTATCAATAATATGGTAATCTTACTAAAAGCAAGTTAATATTGTTAATCATTTGTATAGAATACAGCAACATTAAGGGAAATCCAGAATAAATGAAAGCAGCCACACATCAATTACAGAATACTATATATATATAAAAGGATGAAAATTTAATCTTTGCAAGTTCAGTAATCTTTTGTGCCACAACATGTGAACTGGGTGTATATACTTGTAATGTGAGTTGATCACAGCCTGATTTGTCTACACAATAATATGGTGTGTTATGAATACACATTTATCAAAAATAACGTGTCTCGACAAATCAAAATAATCACCAGTCTACCTTGATAAGTGACACAGAGAATAAATCGTGGAGCAATACCTACAATATCTACGTGAATTAATTTGATTCTTGTGACATCAGCAAACGTGTTAGCATGGTAACTACAAGGCCATTATTTCTAAAAAAGATTATAATTTGCCCAGGCCACTTGATTTTTTTCTATACTTATTTGGTTTTTATTCCCTGATGAAGAGATAGACCTATTTTTTGATCATTTTCTTACTGAACACACTGAACTTTAGCTGTCAGGGTTTTCACCTTTAACGAGCATATGACGTATCCGATGTTTTTCCGCTTCTTTCATGAATTATGGAAATGAAATCTGCCAAATACATATTCTATATAATAATTTCTCAACTGAAGGTCAGACAGATGATATAATTACTGCTAAAAAGAACTCAAAAGGATTTTGGTCTTGTAGGCCATATGTACTTCTTCTTCTCTGCTTTTAATATCTGATTAAAATTATGAAATAAAATCATCTCTGCCACAGAGAGCCTGGTACTATTGCTTTGTAAGTAGGTGGTATATCTGAACCCTTAATGTGTTTCTATATTACTCCATATCATATTGTAATATGATTGTACTTTTCCAATGATAGGTTCGAACTTTTTCCCTTTTTTAAAACTTGTTAGCTTGTCTATTTAACAGTTCTTTTGTAAAAATGATGTGCAAAATTTCATTTAAAAATCATTTGGCTGGGCCTTGTGGGTAAAACTTTTTTGTAATATCACAATTCAAATTTAATGACAATGTCATAAAATCCAACTAATCATATTACCCTGAGAAAACTTTGAAAAAAGTCATCAGGAACATGGCTTATATTGAGGTTAAAAACTCCCTCAGATACTATAATTGTACAAATTGCTAAAATATGAAATGACTAATCAGTCATACTAGTTCACCCCCCCCCCTCTTTCCATCATACATTTGTCAAAAAATTTCAAGAAAGGGGGGGGGGGCAATCCCTTTCCCATCCCTTAAATCCTTGTCAATTCTTGGGGCATCTTCATATGAATCTGCAATCCATCACTTCATTCATTTGCTTTTGTTGTTCCTTTTCATTTCAAGGCTCTTCAGTTCAGGAAATCATGTACATATACAAAAGCTATGAAGCTCAATTAGCAGAATGTACACTGTCACACAGATATAAAGATAACTATCTCAGTTCTCCAGGAAGATATTTCAACACACCTACTTGATTAGCCCTTATTTTATTGTCATCATCAGACTGTAGGAGAAATTTTCTGTGGAATCATCTATACAACAACACCAGTCTGATTCATCTGTACCATATTTTGCTCAATTACTGCACATAGATTACAGGGCAATGTACTAAACAGCTTCAGGTGTAATGGTTGTCCACATCAGCAATATTCTAGTTTTAATATTTTGCTGAGAAATGGGGGGAGGGATTTTCTACCCTAATCCAAGTGTCAACATTTTTTTTTTCCTTCTCTGGGTCCAAACTGTCAAATGTATCAAGTGTAAGGTATGTGATATACAAATAAGACCATTAATTTTCTAGCTTGTCATTGCTGACTTCCTGTGTGTCAGACAGTGGTCTCCTATAACTGGACAGTACATTAACGTATCCTCCCAAGGCATCCTTTCAAATTAACAGGACTACAATCACCTCAAGAGACCAGAGGTATGGGGTCCAATGTCCAGATCAATATGACCCTTGGACACCCACAAGGTTACAAAAGCAGACACACAATCAAAATTTCTCTGGGGGTGTAAAGGTTCTTTTCTGTACAAAGTTACAAGAATAGGTAAATCTACCTT